GAAAGTCCGAAGCCAGGACTGGTGGAGCCGGATCATCCAGATCAGGTCAGACGGGCGACCCAACGAGCATGAAGTGAACAACCAGAATGATTTTTAAAAAGTATAAAAGGTTTACATGATCGAGGAATTCATTAATTCAGCTTTAAAGACGTAATAAACCACCCGCTTACTTCATTCATAATCATTTTTATTAGAAATTAAGTGCTTATATGGTCTTTTTTAAAGCAGAATACATTTTAATTCAGAATTAAATTATTTTTATTCTGAATTAAAGCTCTCATTTCCTAGTGAGCCAGAGTATTGGAGACGTATGGAGACACTTTTTTAAATCTTCCATCCAGTCCTTGTAGTTTGCAGAGGTCGCTGGTGCTAGGCTAGTGCATGTCAATGGCCATAGTTATCCTGCCACTAAAAACAGTCTTACCCACTCCACAAAACACCCAAAGCAAATCTATTATTACACCAGACTGTCCATGTAAATGTCTGTGTTGATAGAATCATTTTAGAAGTAAAACCAACCTTGCATTTGAAGGATTTATGTCTGAGCAGCAGCAGCAAGTTGTACTTCCTGATAGAAAGCTTGGCAATGGCGGAGTGGGTAAGACTTGGGTAAGTGGGTAAGTTTTTAGTGACAGGCTAACTATGGCCATTGACATGCACTAGCCTAGCACCAGTGACCTCTGCAAATACAAGGACTGGATGGAAGATTTAAAAAGTGTCTCCACACGTCTCCAACACCCTGGCTCACTAGGAAATGAGGCCCTATGTCCAAAATTCCAGACTGTTCCTTTAAAATAAAACTCAAATGAAGTCTGACTTGAGTAACTTCAGACAGAGTAGTGCTTACAGTTAGCATCACACAGTTAGCAAAGTATCAGTGTTAAAACACATTAACCTTGGTATAAATGGTGGTTTGTAAATATTTGCACTAATAGCTGAGCGCTTTAGAATCCACATGTATTTGTGTACTACTCTGTGAACAGCTCATTGGACGTGTAAACAAAGCCAGAGCCTTCACTTCCTGTGGGCCTGCTGAGCTAGTGCCTGGGTCTAAACACTGACAGATGACAAGAAGAGCTGACTGTTGTTTTTTTTTTGTAATTTGAAATCTACTTTTAATGCACCTCTCTTGTTCTATAAAGAAGATTAAAGGCGCTGAATCAGATTTTTACGGTCTTAAAAACGTGAAAAACAGAACTAGTCAATTTGAAACAGTTTGCAGTGGGCCAAAAGCTAACAACAACTAGCATGCAAACACAACGCACTTGATTCTTAAACAGTGAAAAATCTTTATAATTAGAAGCAGGCAGTACACAGCGGACTTACTTTGACCTCAAGAGCTGTTTATACAATATTTCTGTACTGGGGCAAGACACATTTTGTTCAAATATACAATATAATCAGATACCGGCCCTTCCTGAGTAACACACTGAATCTTTAAAGAGCCCATCTCCCGCAAAATCAACTTTTTAGAGCTTTCTTCCTTCTAAGAGTGATGTGTGGGCCTTGTATATGTCGCCGAAGTGGTTTTTAGATTGATTCAGTGATTTAAAAAAAAAAATGCAGTGTATTTTTGCCACCCTCCCACGTGACACCGAACTAAACCTGCTAGAACAATGACACGGCAGATACACCTATGACGCGTTTGACGTAGCAGAAAGTGCTTCGCACCCGACCCCCTCCCCTGCTCCACCGCCTCTGCCCCGCCTCCACTCCGCATCGGCTGACAATTCCCACATGAACACCTAAACAAAAGCGACAGCATAAGTTAATTGTTCTACACTGCAGTGAACACGATATAATATGTTTATCTACTAGTGTTTATTAATATTTTACCAATCAGTAATGTTCAGCTGATGCTGACGTGGTGCTTGTGCTTCATGCACCTCAAAGTCCTCGTCCAATTCCGGGTCCAACACATGCGGCTGAACGCGCTGTATCTCCATGATGAATAAAAGTTTATTCCTACCACTATCAGGGTGCGCACCTGTCTCCCTCTCCCTCCCTGAGATGGGCGGAGGAAGGGCGGCTCACTCAGAGCCTACGTCACGTTTGGAGGGCAGAGCCTGTGTTTTCTCAGGACGTGCGGGGGGATGAGTAATAGTTGGACTTTCATAGTTCCTGGTCTGTGATGCCTCCAAGAAATCAATAAGATTTCATAACTATTGTGTAATGGATGTTCCAAAACCCAAATTGTGCTTGTTTATGTGCAGAAGATACAATGTGAAAAGAGTTATTTTGCATAAGATGGGTCCTTTAAAGAGGGAGTATTATGCAAAGCTTTCTCCCATGTAATAATGTTGTCTCCTCATCAAAAACATGCCTGAAGAGGTTAGAGTCACCCATGCATGTTTGAATAATTTAGTGATCTCTCCTGGGCCCTATTCAAACCCTCCTTATGGTTAGCTGTAAGATTCTGTATAAGACTCCGCCCACAAGCCTACGTCACCCATGCTCTCACACAACAGTTCTACATAAATATACAAAAACATGACACAAAACTGTACACCGCAACTTGACAAACCTGATGTGATGTGCAGTAGTTTCATTAGTGGGATGCACGCTGATTGTGTTTTGATATTGCTCTGAAGGGGGAGTAACTTAGCGTAGGAAAAATGCATTAATATGTTATTTTTGGCAGAGATCGAATTTTCAAAACAATAAAAGGTAACATGGAGATCTAAATATGTTATGTGTTCTAGATAATACCAGTGGTGGATGAGTACTCAATTACTGTACAGCTACAGGGGCAAAAAGTTACTCAAGTAAAAGTATCACATGAAAAAATCTACTTAAGTAAAAGTATTTAAGTGCCGTTTAAAAATGTGCTGTAAGAGTAAAAAGTGAAAGTATTTTGCAGAGATTTTTAGAACAATTATAGGATGAAATATTGTGATTTTGGCAAAGAATTTAGTTGATTTTAAGTGATTCAATGGATTTGTGTTTTTTTTTTATATCTGTTTTTGTGTTTTTTGTTTGCTCAAAGTTGGGACGTTAACTCAAATTAAATGTGCCAAAAATAAGTCTCAGTCATTTCAGCAGGTCTCAAACTGTAAAGAAAAGTACTTTTTACTTTTCAGTCCAGATTTAAAATGTAGCGGAGTAAAAAGTTCAGATACCTGCTCTCAAATGTAGTGAAGTAAGAAGTATTTACTATAAAATGTATTTAAGTACAGATGCCTAAAAACTGTGCTTGAATATTGTACTTTTACTTTTGTACTTCATTACCTTTCACCACTGGTTAATACTCCATTAGTAACTTAACTGGTATGGCTCCAATTTGTGAAAGTGCAGTTTTATTTCAGAGAAGAAAAATATTCTGAGAGTAACTAGAGTTCATGTATCTGTGGTTTTGTCCCAAAGGAAGCAATGGTTTTAACTGACAGGAAGCAACGAAAACACACTGAATAGAAAGAACTGTCCCTGGAGCTTGTATTGTTTAAAATACCCATAACACTATTTTCTGATCTGTTTTAATGTTGTTTCTTCATCAAAAACAGAACTGGAGTGGAGTTTTGTTTCATTCTCACATGTTTAAAACACAAACCCTGCATATTTAGGCTCAGTTCTTCTCTCAAACTGAAAACACTGTTCAGCCTTGAGATGTCATGTGGTGATACAGGAAGTGCTTCATCGTGTTTTCAAAAGCCATACACCTTTATTAGGATCATTTGGATAATTTCTGCCCGTGGAATTGCCAATCTCTACTGAACTAAAGGTAAAAGGAGCTGTTCATTTGAAAACTATTGCTTCATGACATCACAAGGTGGAGCAGAGCATTTTGAGTTCTGGACAGGACAGCCGCGAGGTCTTAAAAAGGTTTTAAATTCTGTTGTCCAAGTCTTATTTTTTCACAAATGTCTTAAATTTCATTAGGCTATTTTTTGTTTACTCAACCGGGCTGCAGTGCAACGTTAAACACAAGGAGGAAAAAAAAAGAACAACAATGTGAAATAACATAACATGAATGAACGTCTAATTTGGAGTATGTGCAACAATACTTTGTTTTTTTGGCGCAGGCGGCAGTGAGTAAACAATCAGTTCCATCTACATTGCCCAAGACGCAAAACTTTGGTCAGATGTGCTCACGTTGCGTACATGTTTACGTCACATACATCATCACCTTGCGTCACCACCGAGTCGCCTGGCATGCACATACAATCTAATTCCACGTACTTTTGCACCACCGTATGCACGCTCCCGAAAACGCTCGTCTAAACCTGGAATAAAAAGACGCAATGCCACTTTTGTGTCTTCTGTTCGGACCGTCATATAAACGCAGCCTTGGATTCTAGATATAATACCGGTATTGGTTGGTCATTATTAGAGTTAGATCTGGTGTTTTTTGCCTGCGTAATGAGTGCGACGTTTGTCTTAATTTTCATTTAAGTGGTCTTAAAAAGGTCTTTAAAAAGTCTTAAATTTGGGGTAGTCAAACCTGGGAATACCCTGCTGGAGACATAGACAGACTAATAATAAAGGATTACTCAAACATCCATCAATCCATCCATTTTCTTCCACTTATCCAGGGCCAGGTCGCGGGGGCTCCGGTCTAAGCAGAGACTCCCAGACTTCCTTCACCCTGGATCCTTCCTCAGGCTCCTTCACCCCGGACCCCAAGGCGTTCCCAGGCCAGCTAGTCCCTCGAGCGTGTCCTGGGTCTTCCTTGGGGCCTCCTTCCGGTGGGACGTGCCCGGAAAACCTCCCGAACACCTCAAACACGTGTGAATGAAACAAAACACAACTCCAGGTATGTTTTAGATGAGAAAACAGCATTATAACATGGCTTAAAACACACAAGAGTCAGTTTTTGCGTCCAACCAGAAAGCACCAAAATTGTCAAACTGAGGAAAAGGAGTATTAAAAACCATAAATATATTCATGATAACTACATTTCAGTGTAATCTGTACTTTGACCTGTCATACACACTTTGGTTTAGTGTGGGCAGTTTGATTTATTTTTTGTCAAATGTATTTTAAATTGTGTGGCGTAGACTCACCGCGCTCCTTCTTCTCCTTCGAAAAAGAGTCAAACTTTCTGCGGATGGACTTCCTCCTCTTCCTCGTTTCTGGAAAAGATGAAGATTTTGTGGTGAGTGAAAAACAATGGTCCATTTGAACACAAGAGCCCATTATCTGAGTCCAGCGGAATATAATACAGCCCACCAGATGAGTCCAGCTACAGGTCAGAGTCTTAGGGAGCATGTTGAAGGGCAGTTTAGACCTGGTTTAGACCCGTTTTAGTCCTGGTTTGTCCTAGTTTAGACCTGCTTTACTCCTGCTTTAGTCCTAAATTAGTCCTAGTTTAAGCCTTCTTTGGTTCTGCTTTAGTCCTGTTTTAGACTTGGTTTAGTCCTGGTTCAAGTTTGGCATAGATCTGGGTTCGACTTTGGTTAGACCAGTTTTAGTCCTAGATTAGTCCTTATTTAGTCCTGGGTTGGGTTTAGTTAATTTAATCCTCTTTTAAACCTGTTTTAGTGCAAGGTTAGCCCTGTTTTGGGTTAGATCTGGTTTAGCTCTGGGTTACACCTGTTTTAGTCCTGGTTTAGTCTGGGATTAAACCTGTTTTAATCCTGGTTTAATCTTGGTGTAGTCCTGGTTTAGTCCTATTTTAGTCTCCCAGTTTAGTCCTGGTTCAGGCTTGCTTTAGATCTGGTTTCGACTTTGGTTAGATCTGTATTGGATTAGTCCCAATTTACTAGTACTTTTTTTTTTTTTTTTTTTTTTACCTTGGTTTAGTCCAGGGTTTAGTTCTACTTTAGTCCTCTTTTGAACCTGTTTAAGTCCAAGGCTAGCAATGAGACTTGTCATAGATCTGGTTTAGACCTGGCTTAATCCTGTTTTAGTCCTGGTGTAGTCCTGGTTTAGTCCTGGGATAGACTTGTTTTTAAATCTGTTTTTGTCCTGCGTTAAAGTTGGTTTAGTCCTGGGTTAGTTCTGTTTTAGTTATGGTTTGGTCCAGGTTTAGTTCAGCTTTAGTCCTGGCGTAGTCATGTTGTAGTTCTGGTTTAGACCTTGTTTAGTCCGGGTTTAGTCCTGTTTTAGTCCTGATTTAGTTTGGTTTGGTCCAAATTCAGACTTGGGGTAGGTCTGTTTTAGTTCTGTTTTAGACCTGGTTTAGTCCTGTTTTTTACACCTGTTTTAGGCCTTTTTTTAGACCTGTTTTAGTCCTGGTTTAGGCCTGTTTTTAGTCCTGGTTTATTCCTGTTTTTAGACCTGTTTTAGTCCTGGTTTAGTCCTGTTTTTTACACCTGTTTTAGGCCTATTTTTAGACCTGTTTTAGTCCTGGTTTAGGCCTGTTTTTAGTCCTGGTTTATTCCTGTTCTTAGACCTGTTTTAGTCCTGGTTTAGTCCTGTTTTTAGTCCTGTTTTAGTCCTGTTTTTAGACCTGTTTTAGGCCTATTTTTAGTCCTGGTTTAGTCCTGTTTTTAGACCTGTTTTAGGCCTATTTTTAGACCTGTTTTAGTCCTGGTTTAGGCCTGTTTTTAGTCCTGGTTTATTCCTGTTTTTAGACCTGGTTTAGTCCTGTTTTTAGACCTGTTTTAGTCCTGGTTTAGTCCTGTTTTTAGACCTGTTTTAGGCCTATTTTTAGTCCTGGTTTAGTCCTGTTTTTAGACCTGTTTTAGGCCTATTTTTAGACCTGTTTTAGTCCTGGTTTAGTCCTGTTTTTAGACCTGTTTTAGTCCTGGTTTAGTCCTGTTTTTTACACCTGTTTTAGGCCTATTTTTAGACCTGTTTTAGTCCTGGTTTGGGCCTGTTTTTAGTCCTGGTTTAGGCCTGTTTTTAGACCTGTTTTAGTCCTGGTTTAGACCTCATTCAGACTTAGACCTGGGTCAGGCCAATCATGTCTTTTCCTGCCCTTCTGAGAATAACCTCTTTGTCATTGTTTATTTGGACCGTTTGAGTCGGACTTAAATGGAACTCATAAAACCCCGGCTCTGACGTGTTTAGAACAAAAACAGATTCACAATGGGACTAATGCCGGTCAAACTTAAAACAATTCACCTGTTTATTTCATTTTCAGCTATTTTTAAGCTACGACCCCAGCTGTGAAACCATCAGTCATTCCAAATTATAACAGCAGAAAATATTGTCAAGAAAAGAAAAGAAATGTAACTATAAAAAATATTTTCTATATATTTAAAGGCCTTGTACCAGATTTTTCTCCATGTATTTGAGCAAAACATGTCATACCCCAGTACATTATCAAATTATAAATCGTTTTATTGTGCAATAATCAGGAAGTGCACGGTTAGCATAGTGAATAATGCTCATAATGCAGAATGGTAAGTGAGGTATAAATTTGAATCACTGCAAACTGTTTACTTACGCTAGAACAGTTTTGACTTTTATGTTAGTCACAAGGTTGTTTAGTATAGCTCTAGTGCCTCATGCTAGCACTGACATTCGGCTCTTAGTGTTGCCGTGGTGACGAAATAACACTTTATATAATGTTTGCTGCCTCTGAGTGTTCATCGTTTTGAAGTGCTGCTTTTTCTATTTAAGGATATAACAGATTCATTTGTGTGTTTTCTGCACTATAAGGGCACTCTGGATTATAAGGCGCACTGTCATTGAATGGTCTATTTTTGAACTTTTTTCACATATAAACCTCACCGGACTATAAGGAGCATTAAACAAAATACAGTTAGATAAGTCAGTCAAACTTTATTTAATGCGTTCAGATAACTCTCAACTTTGTTCATTTGTAACACGTAAAAAAAAAATACTGTCTGAGAGCACTAGATTGTTAGGGTATTCACAGTAACTCATAATTGTTCAAACAGTTGGGCGATTACGGCGTCCAGTACACCCACATCCCTCTCGTCATTATCCCGTCTTGGTGAAAGCTCAGACCACAGTTGATACTGATGCTTAGTTCAGGCGTCCATGATCCATTGGCAGATCATGGCATAAGTCGCTCGGCGCTGTCTTTCTGTCTTGGTGAATGTGTGTTTGTCTTCTCTCATCCACTGCTCCCACGCAGCTCGCACTTTCACTTTATAACAGATTTGAGTTTAAAGTGGGCGTTGTAAGCTTGTCTCTTGACAGGTGCATTTTGATATTAAAAGGAATCACAGTATGTATTACTCCTCGATACTCCTGACTACAGGAGCCGTAATGCTGCATGTGAAGGGGCTTTGTAGTTTACTAAAGTTGTACTAAGACACCCCAATAAATTCATATATAAGGCGCTCTGGATTATAAGGCGCACAGTCGTTTTTGATTAAATGAAAGGCTTTTAAGTGCGCCCTATAGTGCGGAAAATACGGTAAATGTTCTTTTGCCTGTGAAATCCAGACCAATCTCTCTGAATTTTTTTGTACAGATCAATATCAGCCTGGTTTTCACACCCTCTGTCGTGTCTCAGGCCAGAACCAAACATGATCATCCAATCAGATTTGCTTATTTCAGTGATTCATTGGTCACATATCATTTCCAAACAAAATCTCTTTCACCTATAGACTGTGTATAAATGGACATAGCTCTACATGAAACCGATGTTTGCATTTCACTATTTTATCCATAAATAAATTCTTATTACTAATATGGATCTCAGCTCCAAATTTGCCCCAGTTAGCCTCAATGAGCTTCACTTGACTGAAGCTGAATTCTGGCTGATGTCACACTCTCTTAAGGCCACCACACACTACAGGATTTTTCGGTCTTAAGTGATTTTTAAACCTGTGACAAAAACTACACACCACTAGAGAATCTTATGAGACTTAAAATCTCGGATCTTAAAGACTGCAGCAAGATATGTTTGCAGTCCACATGTGTGAGCGCGATCGCATCAGCTGTTTCCTGTCAACAGTAAAACCACTCCCTTTGAGACTCTTAAGTGTTCAAAATCAGAGCACCGCACTTCTAGTTCAGATGCAAGTCAAAACTGTGTCATTATTATTTGTGAAATATGACGCAATACTTCAAAAACATGATTTTTTAAAGCATAAAAGATTGGCGATAAAGTCCACAGGAAGTAAAGTCACCATCTCTAATCTGCAGCTTCACCTCGATTTGCGTGTGGATGTAAACAGACACACGTGAGGAACTACTCTCACCTTTTTACTTTTAGAGAACGCCTCAAACTGAATTAATAGAACGGTTTTGTGGACTGAATGTCATTATTTGTGGAGAACTATTTCTATGCATAATGTGAATAAGATGCTGTAGTTTAAATTTACAACTTTGCAAGAGGTGAGTAATAAAGCCTTCTCATTATTTTCACTATATCCCGAGTTTGTATCCTGCGTCTCTGTGTCCGTCGCTCTTCTGCTCTGTGGTTTTGGCTGTTACTGATGTTTGATGGTCCTGATTTGACACTGACACCACGCACGAGGAACGCAGCGGCTTCAAAATCGCACACGAAGACACAAATTCGGCGTCCCCGTACTCAGAGAGAAGCAAATCGCAGCCAAAATCAGACAAATTCTTCTGTAGTTTGTGGTGGCGGCCTTTAGTCTTCTTTATACCCATCTGAAAACACAGCTGACTAGACTCACTCTGATTCTGTGTATTATTAGTGCAGTAGTAATATTATTGTTATTAGTGGGGACGTGAAGGAAGCTCTGATCTCACAGTGTAAGTCCCCACAGAGCAGACAGAGCAGTGGCTTTACAGAGCTCCAGGGGTCAGAGGTCAAAGGTCAGATTCTCAGAGAAAACGGAAATTAAAAGTTTATTTACAAAACGCCCCAAAGCGATTTAGACTTTAGAACAAGAAATGGAAATGGCCCCTACTGCAGGACGGACAGAGTTAAGTGATGGTTTAGACCTGGTGTAGTCCTCATTTAGTCCTGGTTTAGATCTAGTTTAGTCCTGGTTTAGACCTGGTTTAGCCCTAGTTAAGGCTTTTGTAAGTACTGGTCCAGTCCTGGTTTAGACCTTGTTTGAACCTGGTTTAGACTTGGCTTAGTCCTGGTTTAGATGAGGCTTAGACCTGGTGTAGTCCTGATTTTATCCTGGTTTAGATTTAGTTTAGTCCTGGTTTAGACCTGGTTTAGACTTGGCTTAGTCCTGGTTTAGATGAGGCTTAGACCTGCTGTAGTCCTGATTTAATCCTGGTTTAGATTTAGTTTAGTCCTGGTTTAGACCTGGTTTAGACCTGGTTTAGACCTGGCTTAGTCCTCGTTTACTGCTGGTTTAGACCTGGTTTAGTCCTGGTTTAGTCCTGGTTTAGTCCAGGTTTAGTCCAGGTTTAGTCCTGGTTTAGTCCTCGTTTACTGCTGGTTTAGTCCTGGTTTAGTCCAGGTTTAGTCCTGGTTTAGTCCTCGTTTACTGCTGGTTTAGTCCTGGTTTAGTCCAGGTTTAGTCCTGGTTTAGACCTGGTTTAGTTCTGGTTCAGACCTGGTTTAGACCTGGTTAGGGCTGACTGAGTCCTGGTTTAGTACTAATCTAGACCTGGTTTAGACCGGGTTTATTGGTTAAGGTTTAGGCAGACTTTATTATCCCCATAAGGAAATGCATCCTCTGCATTTGACCCATTGTTCGGTGTCACTGGGTTAAACCTGAATTTGACCTGGTGTAGTCCTGGTTCAGTCCAAGTTTAGTCTTGTTTTAGTTCTGGTTTGGTACTGGTTTAATCTTGGAATTTTTCTTGTTTTAATCTTGGTTTAGATTTGGTTTACTGATGGTTTATTTAAATCCTGGTTTAGTCCAGGTTTAGTCCTGGTTTAATCCTGGCTACAACTATTTTGTTAATTATAGTACAATATCTTTTTTTTGGTTTTTTTTTTTTGTTTTTTTATTCAACTTTTATGGAAACCGTTGCTTTATTCTTTGCACTTCATTTACAGTAACAGCCCTGGGAAACATGCAGTAATGGGAGGGTCTGGTTCTATTTCCAAAGTCCCTGATGACCACATGAGCTGAGAACAACACCAGAAAGGACCAGAAAATCCAGAAGCACAAAATTAGCAAAAAAGTGACAGAGGAGCTGTTGTTTACAGATTGTGATTGTCTCATTTTCCCACAGGACCAGAGCCAGCTGGTTAAAGAGAATATTGAATTATTTATTTTTGAGACAAATTTCCAGTGAAAATGTATTGAACCTGATCATTTAGTAACTATTCCCCTGATCTCACTAAATCCACATTCTGCATTCTGCAGCTGATGGGAACAACATTTTCTGAGGGTGTGATGCTCACTGTAGGCACTGCTCTGTCTGAGGCTTTGTTAGACTTTAATCTGAGTTTTATTTAAACACAATCTGATCAGAAAGAACTGATTTAACAGGAACTACAATAAGTGGGCTGATCTGTGCTGTTAAACAATCCACTAAAACATTTTTATGTCAGTTTAAACATACAAAGTTTTTTTTTTTTTCCCCACAAAATAAAGATTTTTTTTTTTTTTTAATTAGTCTAATCATATCTATTGAGGAGTCATTTAGACAAGTTCTGGCCCTTGTTAACTTTACGATAACAGTTGTAGAATCGATGTCACATGTGCTGCCCGTGTTCAGGAAGTGAAATGATAAACTTCACCAGAATTATAAAGCTATAAAAACTAGACAATATCTGTGGTAAAATAATAAACATATATAGACTTTGTTTACTTTGTTTTGGAGAACAGTCCAAAGTCCAAAGTACAAACGCTTTTTCTGAATTTGAATGGGCAGCGGTTAAAGTAGTAAAACGAGTATAAAACTGTGTGTATTTCTTATCTGTGGAATGTGAGGTTCATGTGATCCATGACTCAGGTGACCTTTGACCTTTCTGATGCCCCCCCCCCCCTCATGTTTATTGAGAAGTGAAGTGTGCAGACAGGAGCAGATCAAATACTCCAAAACACTGTCACTGGCTGCGTCTGGCGTCTGGATAAATAGACTTGGTAGAAGAGTTAGTAGTATTAGTAGTAGCAGTAAGCATGCAGTAGTATTTGTATTATTATTAGTAGCAGTAATAGGAGTAGCAGTACCAGTACTCGTAGTATTTGTAGCAACAGCGTTAGTAGTAGTATTAGCAGCAGAAGCAGTAGTAGTACTATCAGTAGTAGCAGCAGTAGATAGATAAGACAGATAATACTTTAGTTATTCCAAAGGTAGTAGCAGTAGTAATCAATCCTTTGCGGTGACATCATGCTTGGGGTGTCTACCATGTATCTCTATGGTGAAATGTTCAGCGGTGTCCATGGAGACACATAAATACAAAATGGATTTAAAAAACCCATTTCCAGGAGCCTGTGATCAATACAAGACTTATCAGTAGTAGTAGTAGTAGTATTTGTTGTGTACCTTTGGGGATGCAGATCTTTAAGTCCAACTCTCTCTCCTCCAGATGCCACAGCGCCACCTCCTGGAGACGAGCTCTCTCCAGCTCCGACAGGCTCTGCACCGGGACGGGGGACAGGTGCACCGAGTGACCCAGCATCGTGCTCCAAATGTGGGCACCCTGGAGAGGAAACAGGGGGTCAGAGATACAACCAGAGAGAAGAGAGATGAGGAGAGAAGAGGAGAGGAGTGACCCAGCATCGTGCTCCAAATGTGGGCACCATGAGGAGAAGAGAGGGGATCAGAGATACAACCAAAAATACAACCAGAGGAGGAGAGAGGAGGAGAGAAGTGACCCAGCATCACGCTCCAAATATGGGCTCCCTGAGGTGGAGAGAGGGGGTCAGAGAACCAGAGGAACAACCAGAGAGGAGAGAGGAAGAGAGAAGAGGAGGAGAGAGGAATGACTCAGTATCGAGCTTCAACTGTGAGGACCCAGAGAAGACAGAGAGGAGGAGAAAGGAGGAGAGAAGAAGAGAGAGAGGAGAGGAGTGACCCAGCATCATGCTCCAAATGAGAGCACCCTGGGGGAAAAAGAGGGGATCAGAGAACCAGAGATACAACCATAGGAGGAGAGAGGAGGAGAGAAGTGAGAGAGAGGAGAGAGGGTCAGAGATACAACCAGAGAGAGAGAGAGAGGAGAGAGAGGAGAGGAGTGAGGAGGAGAGGAGAAGAGAGGGGGTCTGAGATACAACCAGAAGAGGAGAGAGGAGGAAAGGAGTGAGGAGGAGAGGAGAGAGGAGGAAAGGAGTGAGGAGGAGAGGAGTGAGGAGGATAGCAGTGAGGAGGAGAGGAGTGAGGAGGAGAGGAGAGAGGAGGAAAGGAGTGAGGAGGAAATGAGTGAGGAGGAGAGGAGTGAGGAGGAGAGATGTGAGGAGAATAGGAGTGAGGAGGAGTGAGGAGGATAAGAGTGAGGAGGAGAGGAGAGAGGAGGAGAGGAGTGAGGAGGAGAGGAGGAGGAGGAGGAGGAGAGGAGTGAGGAGGATAGGAGTGAGGAGGATAGGAGTGAGGAGGAGTGAAGAGGATAGGAGTGAGGAGGAGAGGAGTGAGGAGGAGTGAGGAGGAGAGGAGTGAGGAGGAGTGAGGAGGAGAGGAGTGAGGAGGATAGGAGTGAGAAGGAGTGAGGAGGATAGGAGTGAGGAGGAGAGGAGTGAGGAGGAGTGAGGAGGAGAGGAGTGAGAAGGAGTGAGGAGGAGAGGAGTGAGGAGGAGAGGAGTGAGGAGGAATGAGGAGGAGAGGAGTGAGGAGGAGTGAGGAGGAGAGGAGTGAGGAGGAGTGAGGAGGAGAGCAGTGAGGAGGAGAGGAGTGACCCAGCATCATGCTCCAAATGTGAGGACCCAGAGGAGAGAGGAGAGGGGGTCAGAGAACCAGAGAAGAAAAGAGATAAGGAGAGAGGAAGAGAGAGAGGAGGAGAGGAAAAGAGCAGAAAGAAGAGCGGGCCAGAGAAACAGAGAAAGATGAAGGTCAGGAGTGTCCCCGCCTGGTGCTCCAGCTGTGGGCACCCTGAGGAGAGAGGAGAGGACCAGAGATAAACCTAGAGAGGAGAGAGAGGAGGAGAAAGGAGGAGAGAAGAAGAGAGAGAGGAGGAGGAGAGTGACCCAGCGTCGTGCTCCAAATGTCTGCACCCCGAGGAGAGGGAGAGGAAAAGAGAAGGAGACGAGAGAGGAGGAGGAAGAAGAGAGACCCAGCATTGTGCTCAAAGAACCAGAGGAACTGAGAGGAAAGGAGAGAGTAGAAAGGAGATGAGGAGAGAGGAGGAGAGGAAAAGAGGAGAAAGAAGAGAGGGTCAGAGAAACAGAGGAAGGAGGTGCTCCAACTGTGGACACCTTGAGGAGAGAGGAGAGGACCAGACATAAAACCAGAGAGGAGAGAGAAAGAAAAGAGGAGAGGAGAAAGGAGGAGAGAAGGAGAGAGAGAGGAGGAGAGGAGCGACCCAGCATCACGCTCCAAATGTCTGCACCCTGAGGAGAAGATTGAGGGGGGGTCAGAGAACCAGAGAAGAGAGGAAGAGAGAAGGAGATGAGGAAAAGACGAGAGGTGAGAGGAGAAAAGGAAAGAGAAGGAGAAGAGGATAGAAGAGGTGAGGGGGTGAAGGTTCATGGAGCGACCCAGCCTGGTGCTCCAACTGTGAGGAACCACCAGGATCTCAAAAGATTAAAGAAAAATGTACGACTTTTCTTCAAATATGTCTCGGAAAAACAGCAGATCCCTTCATTTTTCACCTCAGTTTACCCTAGTGTGCAGTGACCGTGTGACCTGCAGGTGGCGCTCTGGAGGAATGACGTAGATGATGAGAGTCGGACATATTTCAGATGATTATTTTACTTCATTAAACCACAAACAGGAGCCTGGTGTCAGGCTCGGAAAAACTCACCAGGAGTTTGGGTCAAAAGGTCAAAGCTCCGTTTAGAGAATTTTACCTACAAATATTCAGAATGTAAACTAGGACTAAACCAGGACTAAAGACTAAACAGGACAGGACTAAACCAGGACTAAACCAGGACTAAACCAGGACTAAAGCAGGACTAAACAGGACTAAAGGACTAAAGCAGGACTAAACTAAACCAGGACTAAAGCAGGACTAAACCAGGACTAAAGGACTAAAGGACTAAAGGACTAAACAGGACTAAACCAGGACTAAAGCAGGACTAAACCAGGACTAAACCAGGACTAAACCAGGACTAAGGACTAAACCAGGACTAAACCAGGACTAAACTAAACCAGGACTAAACCAGGACTAAAGCTAGGACTAAACCAGGACTAAACCAGGACTAAACAGGACTAAACAGGACTAAACCAGGACTAAAGGACTAAACAGGACTAAAGGACTAAAGGACTAAAAGGACAGACTAGGACTAAACCAGGACTAAACAGGACTAAAGGACTAAAGGACTAAACTAACTAAAGGACTAAAGGACTAAAGCAGGACTAAAGGACTAAAGGACTAAACCAGGACTAAACCAGGACTAAACTAAAGGACTAAAGCAGGACTAAACCAGGACTAAAGCAGGACTAAACCAGGACTAAACCAGGACTAAAGGACTAAACCTAGGACTAAAGGACTAAACAGGACTAAAGGACTAAAGCAGGACTAAAGGACTAAAGGACTAAAGGACTAAAGGACTAAAGCAGGACTAAAGGGACTAAACTAAAGCAGGACTAAACCAGGACTAAAGGACTAAAGACTAAACCAGGACTAAACAGGACTAAAGGACTAAAGGACTAAAGGACTAAAGGACTAAAGGACTAAACCAGGACTAAACCAGGACTAAACCAGGGACTAAACCAGGACTAAACCAGGACTAAACCAGGACTAAACCAGGACTAAAGGGACTAAGGACTAAACCAGGACTAAACCAGGACTAAACCAGGAAAGGACTAAAGGACTAAAGCAGGACTAAAGGCAGGACTAAACCAGGACTAAAGCAGGACTAAAGCTGAGGACTAAACAGGACTAAACCAGGACTAAAGCAGGACTAAACAGGACTAAACCAGGACTAAAGGGAGGACTAAAGCAGGACTAAACCAGGACTAAACCAGGACTAAACCAGGGACTAAAGCAGGACTAAAGCTAAAGGACTAAAGCAGGACTAAACCAGGACTAAAGCAGGACTAAACCAGGACTGAACCAGGACTAAACTGGGGCTAAATCAGAACTAAAACAACTAAAACAGAAACAAATAAACAGGACTGAGACAGGACTAAACAAGAACTAGAGCAGGATTGAACCAGGACTAAACCAGGACTTGACTAAACTAAGACTAAATCAGAACTGAACCAAGACTAAAAACACAGTAGAAAAGCAGAGATGCTGTTTGAGTGTGTTGAAGGAGCAGATCTGCGACAAAAAGAAGGACTCAACTTAAACCCACAGACAAACCCAGAGACTGTGAGGAACCATGAGGACGACTCTGGTGAAGATCTGTGACTCAAATGAAAAGAAAGAAAGAAATGTGTGTCTGTTTATGGAGGAACACAGGAGAATCTGATTAAGTTTAAGAGTTTCCGAGAACATGTCACATCGTAAAAACACTTGGGAAGTCCATAAGATAAGATAACGTTTGTCTCTCCTCTATCCTCTCCTCTTCTCTTCTCGTCTCTTCTCCTCTCTCCTCTTATTTTCTCGTCTCTCCTCAGCTCTTCTCGTCTCTTCTCCTCTCTCTCCATCTTCTCTCCTTCTCTCTCTTCTCATAAACACATTTTTAGGAAGGCCATTAAATAAATTCCAGTTTGTTTTTGATCGTGGCTGATGTTGTGAAAGGAGTTTAGTCCTGGTTTAAACCTGGTTTAGACCTGGTTTAGTCCTGGTTTAGACCTGGTTTAGTCCTGGTTTAAACCTGGTTTAGACCTGGTTTAGTCCTGGTTTAGACCTGGTTTAGTCCTAGTTTAGTTTTGGTTTAATCCTGGTTTAGACCTGGTCTAGTCCTGGTTTAGTCCTGATTTAGACCTGGTTTAGTCCTGGCTCAGTCCTGGATTAGTCCGTGTTTAGACCTGGTTTAGTCCTGGTTTAGTCCTAGTTTAATCCTGGTTTAGTTCTGGTTTAGACCTGGTATTGTCCTAGTTTAGTCCTGGTTTAGACCTGGTTTAGTCCTGGTTTTAGACCTGGTTTAGTCCTGGTTTAGATCCTGGTTTAGTTTTAGACCTGGTTTAGACCTGGTTTAGACCTGGTTTAGACCTGTTTAGACCTGGTTTAGTCCTGGTTTAGACCTGGTTTAGACCTGGTTTTAGACCTCCTGGTTTAGTCCGGTTTAGTCCTGGTTTAGACCTGGTTTAGTCCTGGTTTAGACCTGGTTTAGACCTGGTTTAGACCTGGTTTAGTCCTGGTTTAGACCTGGTTGGTTTAGACGGTTTAGTCCTGGTTTAGACCTGGTTTAGTCCTGGGTTTAGTCCTGGTTTAGTCCTGGGGTTTAGACCTGGTTTTAGTCCTGGTTTAGTCCTGGTTTAGTCCTGGTTTAGTCCTGGTTTAGACCTGGTTTAGTCCTGGTTTAGAGACCTGGTTTAGTCCTGGTTTAGTCCTGGTTTAGTCCTGGTTTAGACCTGGTTTAGTCCTGGTTTAGTCCTGGTTTAGTCCTGGTTTAGTCCTGGTTTAGTCCTGGTTTAGTCCTGGTTTAGTCCTGGTTT